TGTTTACACAAATGTCATGTCTGAAAAGACATAAACCCCTTTCCCACCTCATCCTGTGTTTAGAGAATTCTACATATTCAGGTTTATCTGCATTTTTATAAATCAATGCAATGAAGCACATTAGGTTTTTATTTTGCTTTTCAAATAGTGAAATAAAGAAGAGATTGCTTATTTGTTAGAGCAGTCATCTCAAAATGAAAGGTAATTTGTCAATTTAATGAAATGAAGGCATTTCTCATTTAATACAACTGAGCGTATATCGAAACCAGGGTAAAATCCCATCATGACTACTGCCTCATAGTGATTCTCCACCATCAGACCACCATTTCACCAGAATTCAGCAGTTTCCTCTGGTTCTTAGAGTTATTAAGAGACATTCATTTCATCATGGTATCCACTTCAAGAGGTGGAAAGGTAGCAGAGGAAAAAAATTCTGATGTGAGCACATGAAAAACAATTGGTGCATCCTTTATTCTACTTGTACTAAGGACAAAAATAAAACCACCACTAGCTGACCACACCTTAAAAAGTTTCCAGGTATCCAGGAAGTACATAAATTCCGTATTTCTGTGTGTCAGTCCTTTAACATGAGTCACACATGCTTACACTTTCTATACATTTCACCTGTCCCTCCACAGTCTTCCCATTTTGTCTAGCCAAACTTGCTTAAGCCCAAAAAGCATTTGCAACAAGGAATTGTAGAAGTGGAGAAGCGCTGAGAGAAAATAGAAAGCTTGGTAGTGTCAATGCACTGACACCTGCACAGGCTCATTTTATTTCTCATCCCAGAAGCCTCATTTTCATTAGGAATAAAAGTTTTGCACAACAAAATAAAACCTTGGACAAAATTGTATAGGACAAAATAGAAGTAAAATAAAGAGTACACCAACTTTTGGAAGATCATTTAATTCCACAGTTCACAAGCCCCGTGACAGCAACCAAATGCTAGTCAACACTGATTGTCACAGAGTCCATCCGTTTGAGGGAGGAATGCTTGTCACCACTGAGTTTAGCTTTTTTCCTTTTACTCATGCAAAGAATACCACGTCAAGACAGTCTTCTCAGCCGCTCTGATAATGAAAGACAACTAATGGCAAGGATTACTGGTAAACTTGCAAGGCAAACTAATTGTTCACTCAGCGTGTTAGGTACAACCACTTGAAAAAGGATACTTGCGTTCAGGGCTTCCATTTAAAAAAGGCACAAGTAATGCTCAACCACAGAGACCTAGGGTAATCCAGAAGATCTTATGGACAAGTTACAGTGAAAAATTCCTACTTGAACTTGCCATGAATAAAAGCTAACCAAAGGTTAAATATGAAGTTTTACACTGATGGTAGCTCAGGGAAAAAAAAAATAGTAAGAAAAAAAAACCAACAAAAAGAAAAGAACAGCCAAGTAAATATGAATTTGGCAGCTTTATGAAACGTCTACCAAATTAAACACTTGACTCCTCTAAGAGGGTGGCCAGAGGACACATGCTGGGTCAGAAACAGAACTGGGTAGAACGCACCCAGCCTCACAGCTCCCTCACTGCTGTTCCACTAACCCTAGAGCAGGCAATCACAAGGCCTCCACAGGGCACACATCAATAAGCTTCACAAAGATGATCAACATGGACAGCTTGCTAAGCACCCTTTTTATGGGTGCCCATTCTCCCCTAAAACAATTCCCACCCCAAATCTTCAGCCTGTTTCGGGGCATAGCTTTTGGGAAGGACAATTCGAGGAAGCCTTGCATTCCTTTCACTGTCAAGCTACAACCCTATTGCAAGTTCATCCAAAAACACCAGTTACTGAGCTCAAATGGCTTGCTCTCTAGGCAGAACCTTCCTTATCTGCTGCAGCTGAACTTCCTCAGTCTATCTAGTAGGAAATCCTTTTATTGCTCTGGCAATAAGCCTCTTATCTCCTAATTCTGTGAGGCTGAGAAATAGCTGTTCTGCTCATTAATCCTACAATGACTATCAGCAGGGGATATATACCTTCTCACTCCACTCAAATCTGACTAACTAGGTTTCATCAAGTTCTTTACTATCTACTCAGTAGAGTCCCACCCCACAAGATTTTATAGGAATTGGAGTAGGAGTAAAGAAGCTTCTGCACTTTTGTGAAATATTCATATTTGGTGCTATAAAAATTTTAAATAACCTAGTTCAATGTAAAGAATTTGTATTAGGAGCTGATATTGCCTAGGGACAGAAAGAAGGTACCCAACTCTGGAGGGCAATTTTAAAATCAGACAGACCCTATTCCATTCTCTGCACTCTAGATACCAGTGAATTTTTGTAAGAAATGATAAATTATTTTTTTCTCAAGCAAGTGCCATATTGACTAAAAGTGCCGTATGAAGACTATGAAGACTTTCTACTATAGTTTATACATTCACAATCAGTTTATAATGAGATCTTCTCAATTATTTGTTACAAACCCATGTCATCCTTGACCTTCTAAGATAACTCAAAGGGAAAAAAAATCCAAACACTTAAGTTCTTGGATTAACTAATATATTTCATCAGCACCACCAAGAAATACTAAAAGTTGCTATTTTTCTGCCTCTATACTTAGTTATACTATCTATACTTAGCCAAGGAGAAATTAATAAGATACTATTTTTTTATCAGGATCAAGATCTTCTGTTTCTCTAAATGAAGTGAAAACTTATTACAAACAATTGCTAAACAGTACTGCAAATATGACTGAGAGATATCACAAGATGTGACAGTAAGGTCTTGTACAATATGCATTATATACCTGATAGACAGATACCTACCTGTGTAATGAAAAAAAAACCCCAAACCCCTTCCATAAAGTTTGTGTAGAGAAAAATGTTAAAGTGGCAAACTGTGTTAAGATCACAAATATCTCACGTCAGTTCTACCTTTTATTTTAACTATAAATGTCACACTTCATCATGCAGCTGTCAGCTTCCTTTAATGTACTAAATGCTATCATGTAAGCACAGAACCTGACATGATGTAACACAACAATTAAAATAAAAAGCAAGTCAGCTTTGACACCATGTCACTTTTCTGTTTGCTCCAAATTAAAGGAAAATCAAAAGTACAAAAGTAAAAGCTAGTCAAGAAAAAAAGTTTGCAAAAAATCCCAAACATCAGTTAAAATTCCTCTCTAATGTTATGTCAGATTTTTATGTTCAGCTTTAAAAAAAAAAAGTCCACAGCTTCAACACAGCTAATTACAAATCAACACCAAAAGACATCAAGAAGAAAGCCTAAAACTTTCAGAAAAATTCTATTGTAATAAATATACTTCTAGTTGGCAGTTCCATAACAATTAAGCAATTATTTTTCACTTTCTATCCTACCCCATTTCAATTTCTATCCACTCTGCAGTACTGCTGTGGCATGTCAAAATTGCTGATGCTTTTCAAACCAGATGCAACAGCACTTAAGTTATGCCTGAAGCAATTCCTAGTAATAATGGGGAAATACAAACTCCCAATAATTAATACTGATATCAGTCATATATTACAAGTTTGATTTTCATTCACTGTGTTTGATGCACAACACTAAATAACAGCATCTGAAGTTTTCAAAAATTAACTTCTGAAACAAGGAAAATCATGTACATCTGGAAAAGCATATTGTTAATAACTAGATTTCCTCCTCTTCGGTGTTTTTCTGTTCATTTACATCTACTCTAAACCCACATTTATTATATCAGCAACATAATAAACTTTGGCCCAAGGGAAAGTCGGTGGCATCTGTCACAAATATATGTCACAAGTCTAATCCTTGCTCTGGCCATACTGTGACACACTCAAAACCTGTGGCCAGGGAAGAAATAATCACAATGGAGAGTCCATTTGCAGGCAGGGAGGAAAGAGTCAGACAAAAAGGAGCTGGAGGCCTGTCCTGCAAAAGGAAGAGCTGATACAGATATTTAAAGAATATTCCTGTAAAATCATTCCCTTGAAACATTGGGTTAACACAAATCCTTTTTCCCCTTTGTAGAAATAAGAAGAAAGGGGAACATGGGGAATCCTAGGAAGTTTTACCCCCAAATAACCTGTAACTTCAGAACTGTTTTCTGCTGACCTACTTCTACACCTTCCTCAGGATTTCCAGACCAGTAACCTGCTAAACTAACAATAAAACTAAGAATAATATCATTTTGACTGGAAAAGATTTCTGTATGAGAATGTTACTGCGTTCCCAAACGTGCTTTATTTGACTGAGTATGACAGCAAATTATAGGTAAACCAAGAAAATAAAAACCAGGGGTTAATAAAAACAGACACCCAATTAAAAATACACAAACGAAGTAATCCAAAATAACCTCAGACCTGCCCTTACAGCTGTCTCCCAGTAAACCAAATCCATGAATAGAATTTGGACACCAACAAAGCTGCTAGGAATTTGATCTTTAAAGACTCTTTAACAAAACACTGAAATTATAACAGTGGCAACACTTGTAAATTTTTAAGAACTTGAGTTGTATTATACCTCAGTGACATTTATACTGAAGTAGATGGTTTTTTTTTAAAACTAAAATTAAGTAGTATTTTAGCTACATGAAGACTTCAAACTGATCACAATGAATGCACACCTTTAAATTATCTGTTCTATTCTTAGATGTTTTTTCTAGCCCTTGAATATTTAATTATTGTTAGATACATACAAGGGACAAGAGAAGAGAGGGAGGGTCTTGCTCTTGGGGGCATGGACATGTCCAACTGCGAAAGTTTATGCAATTCATTGGTTATATTAATCCCCGTAAATTCCCCTGTACTGGCCTATTGAAGGAATACATCCACAAGGACCTTTACATTACAGGCCTTAGTAGAAGATGTCATTGCATACCTAGGACTTCAAATGTGAAATGACAGAAGAATTAAAGTTCAGAAACAACACATCCAAAACCTTCCATTTTTATACTTTTGACCATTATTATACTTAATATTATAAACAGTACAGTCTGAAAACTAAGACTTAATCTCCATGTTGAAATGGTAATAAAACGAAATATAGTTCATACCTGCACTTCTTAGGTTGGGGTCTAGGTCTGGCATTTCCTTGGACGCTTCTGGACTGACGCTGTAGATAGATGCTCCCGCTTCACTGACAATGCTGAAATATAAAATGGCAAATAATCAAAACACCTCACAACTGAAAAACTCGGCAAGTGACTTAATTGAATATTTGGGGTTTTTTTTAAAGCCTCATGTTTTAAAGATATTTTGACTCAACTGAATAGTTATAAAAGTAAGGCAGTACAAAGCAAATGATCTCCATTTAAGCCAAAACAGCCCTCCCTGACCTGCAACATCCATTCTTTTCAATTTTGTGAATAAAAACACAGTGTGCATGGTATCAGACTGTGTAGTAATCTTCCAACAGAGAAAATGAACACCAGAAATAAGTGTTACCAGAAGTAAAGAAGCAAACCAGCTTCTGTAAACAAAACAAAAAACTACCCGACAATTTCATTAAAAACATCTAGATTCTAAACATCAATTGAACTACTACATCAACCCAAGTCATGAGTGTGCACACACATAGTCTAAAGCTAGCTGCCTAAAAGACTCAAATAAAAACCAACTTGATGCAGACTGAGACCCAGAGCTGCAGCTCGCTTCTCAGCAGCATTTAATACCGTCTTCTCCCCGCTCTCACTGCCATCCCCAAAGAATAACACAGACTGCATGTCTTCAGTAACTTAAACTACAGTTCATGTATCCACCACACATCTCAAACTCATTCAGTAATGATGATAAACTCACCAATTCAAATCACAACATGCAATTAAAAAACCCTCGAGCGCTCTAGTTCCACTCAAGAGAAAACGGCAATCAACTGTTCACCGTCTAAGTTTATTTTCAGCTGTGAAATTTTGACACCGCTGAATCAACAAACAGTATATTTCTTCAAATAACTTAAACAGAACTTGAATTTCAGACTGATAATTAAGGCATCACACAGCTACTGCATTGGAGAGGAATACTATCAGTTACAGAACTATTTTTACTTTTACTATTCCACTCTTAGAACAACCTTATTTTGCCATAAGGAGGGAAACCACAGTCCAGACCTTTCAATAAAAATCATAACTTTGCTTTATATTGTTTTAAAATTAGACTATAAATTTTGCTCCTAAGAACATTTAGTAGGTTACATTTTTAAATGAAGAAACTGATACCTAGAAACCCCTCCCTTCAGAAAAAGCTGGAGAATAGCTCAGCGACAAAACACATCCACATTCAGTGTTCCAAGCATGTTAACAGTAAATAGTGTAAAATGCAGATATAAAAGGTATGTTTTTCTTACTGTTGTTTTTACAGGTTGCTTGGGTTTTTAATATATAAATTATTATCTATTCAATCAAAATGAAATTTGGTGGAGTGCTGTACATAAAAGTCAGATTTTATAGTTACTAGAAACTCAAAAGAACATTTCAATATTACAGACAAACTGGATCTTTCAATAAATACAGACGGTAATACAGAAGAGAAAAGGATTTTATCCTAACTTCAGTCCTATTCAATCAACCAGTTTACAAGAGAAAAATAGCTCAGACCAGTTGGTCAACGGGCTGAACAAGGACATGAAAACAAAAGTATTTATGTGATCTCTAAAAAAAATTCAGTATTAGAGGGCATTCCATCACTATAAATGGCATTCAGAAAACAGTCTCATGACGGTCAATAACTGAGGGTCACCAGCAAAAAAAGTTTGGAAATATGTTTATATCACAAAAGCCTGACTGCTGAAAAACGGAGAGGAAACCTCCGCAAACTGCTTTTTCTGATGGAGTAGTTTAAAGAACAATGCAGCAGAGTGTATTTCTTAACCTGTTCACACCCTATAAAGGCAGCATCTGGCAAGCACTCCCATTTTGGAAATCGCTTCCAAAAAACCACACACATTAGCACATACTTCTAACAGCTTTTAACTAATTGCTCTTCAATCTCTTTGTATTCAAATAGATCCAAAAAAAAGTTAACCTCTCATGCAATTTCTAAATTTAATAAATTGATATTACACTCTGAGAGAATAAAAATGTTTTGCACACATCTTTACAGTGCTGTACTACAAACTGTGTTACTGCATGCAGCTTATTGCTTCATCCCATCCCACAGTATTTTGTGCAGTGAAAAAACAAAGTGGCATGGATGGGAATTTTAACTCACTTGACATTTTATTGATTCTCAATAATGCTACACTAAATTTTCAGAAGAAAAACGCAGTAATACCATCATTCTATGGTAGTAAGTGACTTGTGCCAAAACTTAAGGTAGGTAGCACAAAAACTCTTCACTAAAATGAGTAAATAAAATTAGACTCAGGATGGGAGGAAGAAACATTTGAAAAGAGCACACTTCCTTTCCTCAAGTGCAAGAACATTTACACACTGCGGGGACAAGGAGGAGGGAAGCCAAATAAAAAATTATTTCAAGGAGGAAAACAAGATATAAAAAGCACTTTGAGAAGCAGTATACAGTGGATATTTGACATCCATTCTTAGATGGTTTTGTGTACACATGCAGTTATTCTATGAAGCATTTGGTGTAGCAGACTTGGAGAAGGAGGGGAAGAGCTTCCTCTGCACCTAGGACAGTAAAACCCAGACGGTAAATAAATTTGTTACCCAGTGTAAGGGGCACAGGGACACAAACTCCAAAGGATCCACCCTCTGGTTCGTTCAAGCATAGTCAACCAAACTTTTACAGACCTCTTAGTGGCTGTCATGTGGTTTTATTTAGTTTGTTTTTAGCTACAGTGAGGTGGTTACTAATGTGACACTGGCACATACGATACTAAAACATTTAACTTGGTCACAACAGTAAGATTAGGAGCAAACTAGGTTTGCAGATTTTTCTTTGCAGTTGTTTTGGATTTTGCTTTTTGACTGGACAGGAGACAGTCACTTTGGTTTAGAGACACTTTATGTTATTCTTTATTCTAATGTTCCTCCTTAAAAAGGTGATGCTATATAGGATAATTTATGCTAATTTAGTATTGCAAAATGCATCATGCTTTCAAAGAATATACATATTTTATGTCAAAGCATATGAAAATAAAACCAAACCTGCTCAAATCAGAAGGCAATAGAAATTTAGTCCAAAATACTGTGGTCCACACTGTTCCCTAACCTCCTTACTCTCCCTTTTTTTCAGTATACTAATTTCAAGATAGTCAAAAGCAAGCCCTCATAAGTGTTGGCAAAAACTGCATCTAAAAATCTGTGTATGTTCATAAATAGAATTTGACTTTTTAAGCCACATAATGTATTAAAGCACGAAACTAGAGTCCCCCACCCCCTTGTAAAATGAGATCCTTATTTCTGTGCATTTCTTAAGAGGAAACACTTTGCACTGGCCAAAATCTTAACAGTTAAAACTACATTATCAAAATTTTATTTTGCTATTTAAAGTCAGGAAAAAAATGAGGTAAATGAGCAACAGGTCATGATATGAAATGCTTATACGCAAATGGAAAAGTTTTATAAACTGCTCTCCAAATTGACAAAGAAAGCAGGTAAAGAGTCTGGTAACATGCCTCCGTGCTGTCTGCTTGCCACATTAGCCATCCTACAGATAAGTCTTTTTCCTCAGCATCTATATTCAACTTTTTAAAATTAAGAAGTGCCCAAACCACCAAGCCGCTACACAATATTTCAATTTAATCTTTTTAACTGTACCAACAGAGTTGTTGCATAGAAAGTAAGTTCTCATATGCTGCTCCGGTCTCCTTCACATTTGTTAAGACACATTTTAAGTGCTGTTAAAACAACATGAAACACATTCCACTAGCACCACCTGGTGGGGCCTCAGCTTTATGCTACAGACCGTGACCGCTGCATTCTAAATGCTTTAAGGAGCCTTTTAACATTTACTAGAGGAAGTTATTTGCTTATTCAACTTAAATAAACATTACATATTTAGTATGAAAAGATAATCTGAATACCTATTGAAAACATACAGATCTTCAATCTCTTAATTTTTACAGGGAAAACAGCCATAAGCCTTTCTTGTAGAAGGTTTAAAAAAAAAAGTGTTCCGAGATATTTTTTTTTTAATTTAAAGCTATTGCATACCTACAAAAATGCCTAATTTAACCAACTAGAGTTATCAACATTGTTTAGATGTTATTACTTCATGTACATGCATATAATGGCACATTTTTTAAAACTGACAAGGTTCTTCCATAGTAAGTTTTCACTGAAAAGTTATGTGCAAAAATCTTAATGTATGTACAATGAAAAAGATATATCAGGCTGGAGGTTTCTAAGGTTAAAGATGGATGCAGCTTCCCGACATTTTCCTGAACCTTACCAACATTTCAGACTATTTTATTACACTGAAGTCATTTCCCCACAACCAAATGCAACACCGGCTTAACCTACAGAGAGGGAAGGTAACTTTATCCAACTTTACATAACTTACTGTGCCTACAATCTCTAAAACCCCGATTTACCACTTGAAGCCTTGAAAATAACATCTTAAGAAACAATACAAGCACAAAGAAGAGAACAGTGTTAATACTTGGAAGAAAACTGTGGTCATTTTAAAAGCAAAGGGTATGTCAACCTCAAAGTGGGCCCAGATTTTCATATTTGTTCATAAGATTATGATCTGCCAAAATATAGCTCCCTTCCCAATCAAAATGCAGTAATTGTGGTTAACTCCTCTAACCCACCTTTTTAAATATTAGCTGACAAATATATTCTTCTTAAGCTTCTGGCAACAAAAGCTAGAGACTCCCAAAAAAGGCATAAATACAGAAGGGTCAAAGGATTATCCAGTGTACTTAATAAAATAATTGGCTTAAGAATTACCCAGGACAGAAAAATAAAACAAAATAAAATGACAAAATGTTTACTAGAAAAAAATGTTACATTTAGAAGCTCTATTGGAACGCTACAAGCTTTAATTATGTTGATAGATTTAGTGATTAAAAACAAACTGAGGAGGGACCAGGAAGATTTAATTAAGTACAGGCTCAAAAGAAGATTGGGCTGTTTCACGAAAGAGAAATGCATACTGAAAATACAGAAGTCACAATTAGCTCCAGAAGAGCTTAAAACCAAAAATGGTTGATAGCTACAGAAGCACCAGAGAAACAGCACG